CACTTAAAGCATGATCAACAAAATCGGCATCCACATACCATTTTCCATTGGGTCCGTCCCTAGCAATTGAATACAATGACACCGTAGGCGATGGTGGCAAAGCGGTATTATCCATATCTCCTGAATTCTATTGAACTATATTCTTCAAATCTAACCATTTATGAGTTCTTAAATGTATTGTACAAAACTGAATGTCCACCACGGTACTGAACTTGTGCTGATTGACTTTTCTAAATTCTACACGACCCTACAAGATATATAATTGAGACATTTTCTATCTCTCCAATACAACTTGGGCACCCTTACAAACTTTCAAAGCTCCACATCCATCAAAGAACTCATAACCTTTTGAATCAAGGATAGACAACGAGATGAAATTTTTCTTCAAATCTGGAACATGTCGAACCTAGCCAAATGTTCTAATTATCCTATCCAAAAGCTTCAATTTAACTGTACCAATTCCAGAAACCCAACAAAATGCGTTGTTTTCCATAACTACGATACATTTGGAAACAGTTGCATATGTAGTAAACAAGTCCTTATTGGGACACATATGAAACAAACATGCTGAATCAAAATTTTTATCATATTTCGGTTTAGCCTCAATGCTAGAAATAGCCAAGAGATCTCCATAACTTATAACGTTCTTTGCGATGTCTGTTTCGCATGAAATATCTGATTGCTTCCCATATGGACTTGCAGCCAACCTTTTTTTATTTTGCAATTTGTAGCAATCCTTTTTCAAGTGCATCTTCTTCTTGCAGTAGTTACAAATCTGATTACTGAACTTAAATTTCGATCTGCCCCTTCCAAAACTACCATGAGCAACCAAGCCTTCTCCATATCTGGCTTCAAAAACCTGATGCTTCATCTTCTCTTTTGAATACAAAGTATCATACACTTCCTCTATGGTGAGAGTATCACGACTATACAAGATCGTGTCTCTAAATGAAGAAAAAGAAGTAGGTAACGAACACAATAGGATCAATGTTAAATCTTCTTCATCATACTCTATTTCCAAAGTTTCCAAATCAGCGAAGATTTCTTTAAATACAGACAAGTGATCTTTCAATGATCATCATTTTGTCATTCGATGAGAGTACAAAAGTTGCTTGAGGTTCAACTTGCTTGTCAGACTTTTAGTCATGCACAATTACTTCAACCTCAACCATAAAGCAGCTGTTGAATTCTCCATCAAAACGTCCTAAAGAATAGTGTTTGATAGATGAAGATGAATGTGAGAAACTGCCTTCTTATCCTTCCATAATTTCTCCTCTGCAGTCAAAGTTACAGGCATCTTGTCAATTCTCAGCAACGCATTATCCAAATTTAACTGTGCGAGTACCGCACGCATCTTAACCTGCCATAGCGAAAATCTAGTGTTCCGATCCAAAAGCGGAATGTTATACTTCATGGAAGTTATCACAAACAAAAACTTTGAATAAATCAACCAAGCTCTTGCGGAAGTGCTGAACCTAAGCTCTGATACCACTTGTTGTAAAACAACCAAGATACCAGAATTACTCTGATACCAATTATTGTGAAATAAACCACCGGATTGAGATGTTGAAGTTATATGACAAATAATAATGAAATATATGATCAAACAAAAGAATAATAAAGACAAGAATATGACAGAGGAATTAAGAGATTTTATTGACTCGAGAATAATGGATAAGAGAGAAAAATTACAATTGATCATATAATTCTAGTAATCTATTTTTTCATACCTTATAAAATTGTATAGAAGAGCCTAGTNTGAACTTGGCGCTTTGATACCAATTGTTGTAAAACAAACCACCGGATTGAGATATTGAAGTTATATGGCAAATAATAATGAAGTATATGATCAAACAAAAGAATAATAAAGACAAGAATATGACAGAGGAATTAAGAGATTTTATTGACTCAAAAATAATGAAGAATGGAGAAAACTTATAAGAGATCATATAATTTTAGTAATCTATTTTCTCATACCATAAAATTATATAGAAGAGCCTAGTATTTATATGGAACATGTAAGGGATGTCCAAACCCTTATAGTAGAATTGTTGATGAAGTAGAATACTCAAAAATCAAGTCCAAAACAGATTTCAACTCTCAATGGGCTTCTAAAATAGAACTTCAACTTGACATATGACTCTTATAGCATTTCAAACTGAATTCTTCTTGATGTGTACTTCAATTAGAATTTTTCAATTATTTCAATAAGGAATTCAGGTCACATCCAAATTCTAACAACGATTTGAATATCACATATTATAATTTTGATGTTGAGATTAATATATTCTACCATCCTGTACTTTTTTATAGGAGATACTTGAAAGTGGGAATATTGCAGAAACCGATGTTCTTGGGAGTGTGATGAAGCATGTGAGAAATAAAATTGATGGTGAAAGGAGTACTACTGCACTAAAGAATTGGCTGATCAAGAAGTTGAGAATTGATGGCCATAATGCAGCTCTATGTCACACCACTTGGCCTACTACTTTAGATTGTCTTGGTGGTAATTACTACATCACTTGGAAACCTATACTACCTTCGTTATAATTTGTGGTATGTGTTATCAAATTAGCTGACTCTAAAATAGTAGGAACCACCGAACTACCTAGTTTAAAAGTTTTTGTTAGAGTCAGAAACTGAGCCAGCACCCGGTGACCAGGCGGTTTCCCGTGCTCGCTCCGTCTGAATTTTTTTTCCATTTATTGAGTGGCGCTCGATGGCCGCACATTCTTGTCTGGATCCGCCCTAACTCACTCAAATTCCTGGATCTGCCACCGATTAGAGATGATATCTATTTATTTAGTTGTAGTCGTCTAACGCTTCTAGATTCATTTTTAAATCAAAGGCTTTATGCATGTATAATTTTCATAAATGGGTGGCAGCAAGACTTAAAACTTATTAATTATTTAGCCAGTTTGATATCATGTTGAGCTATTAGAGGTGATTCAACATTACTTCAACATTATATCAGAGCTAACATATATAGGTATTGGATTTACCCATTTGTATATATTGTACGTGTTAGGCTTTCGATAAAAACCTGCACATGAAGGACATGTTGGAGACATAATTCAAATTAGTACACTTTTTCCCTCCATAATAACATAAGCTGAGGATATGGTTTGATCAAGGCTAAGTTTGTCGATTGTATAGAACAAACTGCACTATTTTGGCATATTCTAATGTTGTTTCAGTTGTTGTATGTTTTATTGAACAAAATGTGTTGTGTTTTGGAATGTCTTAAACAGACGATTAAGAATACATTGAAATTATATCAGAAGATAAAAATGGTTGTGCATTGAGGGTAATAGTAGATATATATTTCAAGTCACAGTTTGAATTGGCAAGGCGCACATCAACTTTCAAAGATCTCTCCAACATTATGCCATCAATCTTCGTCGGGACGGAACAAAAGCTGAAGAAAATTATTAGTATTCTTTGTGCAGAAGCCACGGATTCATTTCTTGAAAGAGGTCTCCATGTACCTCCGCAGAGGACAAGCACTTACATGCAGTCCAAATGGTTTTCTGCCTGTCAAAAAGGGATATAATTTCCCAGCAGAAGAGCTATTGGCAAAAAAAAAAAAAAAGAAGAACTAGAGAAGAGTTGATGGCATTGTTCCCTTTAAAACTTCAACAATTTTGTAAAATTAATTGGTTTCAAAATATCCAAGGTAGTGTTTGCATGGAGCACAATTAGTATTAAAGAATAGGATGTTCTTCTTGTTGTTTCTTTTCGTCAATTTAGTTTCTAACTAGGTAACAATTTATTTTAGGATTAATAACAGAAAACACTCTAGAAACGTTTCCATTTGCGATATGTCCCGTAATAATTGCAATTTTAGTTTTCAAACTTTTTATTCTTTTACAAATTATACCAATTTTTTTTTATATACTACCCACAATCCCAAACTTTTAAAACTTTATTTTCCACCCCACCCACTTATCTCCTTCCCTAAAATTAATTTATCTAATTAGAAATATATGTCAAAAGTACAACTAGATGTAACATTAATCATTCTCTAATCCCCTTTCTTGATTACCAATTTTCTCTTATATACATCTGTAGTTTAGCTTGCATTTTTCCATTTTTTTTTTTTGCTAAAATGTCGAGTTTAGTATCTGTAAAAACTCCAGTGGAGGCTTCGTCGTTGCGAATCTCGGTACTCGATGAGCTACACACCCCGATCTAATCGGATCCGAACCCGTTAACTCAAAATTCAGCTCCTTGGTTCCTAGCCGTTCGCCCTACCCTTCCCCTTCCCCTTCCCCACCCACTTCACGCACTAAGTCTTCTCCTGATCGGAGTTTCGACAAGAAGAAATCACCTGCGGAAAAGAGCCTTTTTGACGAATCCTCCCTCGAAAACTTGGATCTCGGCCCCCTTTTTACCCAAGTTAGCTCGAGATACGATTGCGTCGGGTGAGGGTCCGAACAAGGCCCTTGACTACGCGTTGAGGGCAGCAAAGTGTTTTGACATGTGTGCTGTTAAGGCAGAACCGAGCTTGGATTCGATGATGAGTTTGCATGTTGTGGCTGCGATTTACTGTAGTTTGGGGAGGTTTGAGGAGGCGGTGTCTGTTTTGGAACGAGCATTTAAAATGCAGAGGTGTCAAGGGGTGAAAAATAAAGTTTTAAAGGTTCGGGATTGTGGTGGTACATAAAAAATGGGTATAATTTGTAGGACCGTGCTAGACGTACTCACGGAATTACTACACCCTTTACTTACTGCTGATGTGGCTGGCTTTGACAATTCAACCCAGACATATTAAAAAAAAAAGGCGCCATTTTCCTAATAACTCCCGTCATTTCCATTCCATAGCTCTAAAATGAAAAAACTCCCGACGAAAGTGGAGCAACAAGAAAACTCAATCGATCATCGGGGAGTTGGATGATGGCGATCACACGTGGCAAGAGACGGCGTCAATTCCTTGCCACGTTAGAACGCCTTCAATCCAAAACCACCATTCTCGCCTTTAACCCGTTCAATTTGAGGAAGGAATCCCCAATTCGAAGAACCCTAAACCAAATCCCCCGTTCCGATCCAACCCAAATCCCGTCGAGTAAGAACCCCAAATTTGGTTTTGCCCTAACTGCCTCTTTTCCAACTCCGAACATGCGACGTTGAATGACCCCGAAATCATCCCTCCAAACCGAAATAGCCCCACCTTCTTCGAAAACCTGTTCAGCTAAAATTAGGTGAATTTGTGGGGGAGGGTGCAAACTGATACTTTCTAATCGAATTGTTATTTGTCATCTTCTAATTACATTCTTCACCTGTCCCATGTTGCAGATTCGCTGTTTTAGGGGGATTTGTGGCGTTTTATCTGGATTTCTTCAACTGTTGGAAGATTATCATTGGAAGGGGGTGGGGGTGGGGGTGGGGGTGGGGGGGGTTAGAATTCTTGTGTTCTTCTTTGAGAGGAATTTTTGATTGGTTTTAGTTTGCAGTTTAACTATTAATCTGTTATGATTTATGGAAGAGAAATGCAGTGCAGAAATGTATATGGTTGGCTTTGGTTTTGA